ATACCAGGCTGTGTTAGCTACGTTTGAGGTTCAGGAGGGAGCCCTCCCTGCCTCTGAAGGAGAGGCAGCCCAGCTGCCACAGGGCCTGGCTAGTTCTCAGCAATAAACTGGCTCAGAGTGACTTCCGCGGGGTCACAGAGAAGCTGGACGCTGCCTGCACATCAGCATGCTAGCGGGACACGGGGCATCGCAGTTTCAGCGAATGCTCTTGCAGTGGCCGGCTCCAGGCTGCCAGGTGGATTGCCTGCACCTGAAATGCTTGCTGATTCCAGCCACCTGGTGTCCCTGTCAGTGGCTCCTTAGAGAAAGAAACCTGATTTTATAGCCTAAATTCAATTTCAGGGGATGAAAGAAGTCTGCTGCAAGAAAAACCTACAAAGCATTCTCAAATAAAGCCTTATCTGTAGAGAAAGGAGGTGGTTGGGTAAACAGTCTTTAAAGTTACCTTCCCACTTTTCAGGCATCTTGTCTGCAAGTCAGTTCTTCAATCAGGTGCTGGAGATACGGGGGAAAGCCAAAGCTTATAAAAGTTCTGCCCCAGCAGAGATGCAGATGGGAGCAGTTATTAAACAAGATATACACCCTCTGCTGAAATCAGTTTGGTTTCTGTAAGAAGGGAGATGGAAAGCTGTTGGAAGGCTCACTCTTGCAGGAATTTTCATGCATTGGGCGGGCCTCTAGTAGAATGATATGACTTGCCTTCTATGCCAATAGGATCCCGCTGGCTGCTGTGTGGAGAATAGGCTGAAGGTAGGAAGGTCATAAGCAGGGCATTCGGTTAGGAGACTTGTGATAATATAACCATAGCAGGATGGTACTTGTGTGGTCACAGTGGTCACAGGAGACAACTAGGATGAGGAAAGAGAGGGCAGAATGTGGGAGGAGCCGTTTTGGTAGAAAGAGCACGAGTCAGTGCGAGTTTTCCATGCCTAGTGGGACCGGGAGTTGCCAGTTGGATACATCAGCCGGAGTTCAGGGTAAAGGTCAGAGTTAGAGATGCAAATCTGGGCAGTATCAACGAATCTGGTGCTGGTATCTAAAGCCCTGGGCTTGGATGAGAAGGCCAAGGCCATGAGGGAGCGAGTGAGTGCAGATAGATCGGAGTCCCAGCCCTGGGCCCGGGGCACACCAGCACCAAAGAGGGTCCAGAGGAGAGGAGGAACAGCTACAAAGAACTGTGGGTACTTGGACTTTCCTTCCCAAACTGGGCCATTTTTAAGAATATATATTTTGAGTGATTTCATGGAGGAAGGGAAAGCGAGAGAGAGATAGAAACATCAACGATGAGAGAGAGTCATTGATTTGCTGACTCTTGCACTGCCCCCACCAGGGATTGAGGCTGCAACACAGGCATGGGCCCTGACCAGGAATTGAACCATTGAATGTGACCTCTGGTTAAAGGTCAACTTTCAACTACTAAGCTACACCAGCCAGGCCAAACTGGGTCATTATTGATGCACTGTTCCTTATCAGAGAGTACTTTATCCTCTAAAGAGGTAAAACGTATTAAGGAACTAATTATTCTTGCCTGTGTCCCAATGTCCTTGGGTAATAATAATTGCTACCCTTCATCACACTGTATGCCTGGCATTGTGCTAGCATTTTGGTATCTTATCTAATCTTCACCGTAGCCTGACCGGAGTGGCTCAGAGATTGAGCGTCCACTTGTGAACCAGGAGGTCATGGTTCAATTCCTGATCAGGGCATAAGCCAGGGTTGCAGGCTCAATCCCCAGTAGGGGGCATGCAGGAGGCAGCCGATCAATGATTCTCGCTCATCATTAATGTTTCTATCTCTCTCTCCCTCTCCCTTCCTCTCTGAAATCAATTAAAATATATTTTTAAAAATAAATAATCTTCACAATAACCTTATGATAGACCCTTTTCCAGTTAAGGAAACCAAAGCCCAGGGAGATGAGGTCATTTGCCCACAGCAGGAAAGTAGAGGGTGTGGGGATATACCCAGGTCTGTACTCGTCCAAGGCTCATGCTACTGAGTACTTTGCCCTTTTCATTAAGGTAATTATTGAGGGTTTTCAGAGGAAGCATCTGGAATTTTTTTTTTTAATTACATGGGCTCATAGTATCTGTAAGGCTGTATTTACCGCCTAAGATCAAGAAGCGTGAGCGATAAAAGGGCTGATTCAAAGCAGCGTCCTACTTGGAGTGGGGAGCACAGGGTCCAGCAGCGAGGTGGCTCTCGTTCAGCACCCAGGTCTTTCTCAGAGAGAAAAACATCACTGTCCCAGTCTCCTTCGGGGTCATGGCTCAAATATTAAGATGAGAGACCGTAAGCAGCAGAGAGAGATGAGGGAAGACCACAGTGAGGTTTCCCAGCAGAGCAAGGAAACCCGCTGCCTGCCGGGAGCTGCGAAACGATGAAGGCAGGAAGGACCCTGTGCGGAAGGTCCAGGGAAGGACGGGCTGTCACTGTTAGCTCAGAGTACTCCACGTTAGCTGTCTTGCATGTGTGTGAGCAGAAAACTGCTGAAGACACTAAAAGACTCATGAAAGGGTCTGCCCTGTCACATAAGCACGAGAGCGACAGGGCTGGGGACAGACTGCAGTCAGGGCACTTCATGGCAGCCGCAGCCTCGGGTTCTGAACCGTCCATGCAAGTGATGGAAGAAAAGAAACACGGGGAAAAACAAGAGGTTTGTGGAGATGAGATGCTGGCTCCGTGAAAACCCTGGGCCTACACACCAGCAAGCGAAGGTTTCGAGGAACCCCAAACCTGGAGGGCCACAGAAGGCACAGGGGAGCCCGCAGGGTTGTTGGCGGCAAAGCCCAAAATTTGCAGCAGCACCATACAAGGCAGCACAGCCATCATGGGATTGAAATATACATTTTTGTTCCAAAAGACCAGGATTTGTTTCTTTTATATTTTAAATACATTTTTATATTTTAATTTTTTAAAATACATTTTATTGATTTTTTACAGAGAGGAAGGGAGAAGCATAGAGAGTTAGAAACACCGATGAGAGAGAAACATCGACCAGCTGCCTCCTGCACACTCCCCACTGGGGATGAGGGCAAAATATATTTTTATTGATTTCAGAGAGGAAGGGAGAGGGAGCAAGAGATAGAAACATCAATGATGAAAGAGAATCATTGATCGGCTGCCTCCTGCATGCCCCACACTGGGGTTCCAGCCTGATACTGGGCATGTGCCCAGACCAGGAATCAAACCGGGACCTCCTGGCTCATAGTCGGTGCTCAACCACTGAGCCACACCAGTTGGGTCAGGATTTATTACTTGGTAATCCTACCAGCAAACAAGTAAAGGAAGGGGTTGTCCCAATATTTAAATACTAGAGGCCCGGTGCACAAAAATTCATGCAAGAGTAGACCTTCCTTCCCCCAGCTGCCGGCACCGGCTTCCTCCGACACCTGGGACCCAGGCTTCCCTCCTCCGGTCGCCCACAGGCACCTGAGACCCAGCTGGCTTCCCTCAGCCCGGGCTTCGTCAGGAAGAACATCATAAATGACGTGTGGTCTAATTTGCATATTACCCTTTTATTATTATAGATAATTCAATAAGTGGGTTAAATGAGGTTTTTTTATTATTGGATTGGTTTTTAGAGACAGAAACATTGATTTGTTGCTCCACTTATTTATGCACTCTGGTTGATTCTTTTTTTTTTATTGTTTAAAGTATTACATAGGTCTCCTATACTCTGGTTTCTCTTCAGATCGTATAAATCTTTCGCTTTTTACATATGTCTCCTTTTTCCCAGATTAACCCCCCCGCCCCCACCACTCCCGCTCCCCAGGACAAGCCCCCAGTGTCCATGTCCTTTGGTTGATCACTTGAGTTATGTGTAAGAGTCTAAGAGCCCTGTGCAAAGCTATCTCCGGTAAAAGGCCACAGCTTCGTCATCACCATGTGATCACAGGCCAGTGTGTGGAGGGAGGTTGCCGAGTGGCAGCCCTCTGTGACCACAGAGGAGCGCAGGGCAGAGCACTGCATTGGGACCTTAAACGGGGAGGGGAATCGAAGGAGTGATTTCAGACTCTCCCTGCACCCAGAACTGTCGGGCGAATGTACTACGAAGCTGTAAAGTGATTTAATTGCTTCAGAGAACACATGAGCAGTATTGTTGTCAATCCCCAATTTTACATCTTTCAACTGTTCTCCCAAAATAAAATTGTTTGGGGAAGCTTAATGTCTCCCTGTTTTTATTGCTTTGCATCTAGGAAAGTACAAATTCTGTAGCAGTTCCTGGCCCTGGCAAATCTCCTGGGAAGCTTTTAAAAAGATACTCTCCCAGGAGACCTATCCCAATCCAATTAGATCAAATTCTCTAGGGGTGGGGCCCAGGCATTCGTGCTTTGTTTTTTAATTATTAGTTATTGACTTGAGAGAGAGGAACATCGGTTCGTTGTTGTGCTTATGTATGCATTCATTGTTTGATTCTTGTACGCGCCCTGACCAGGGGCTGAACCGGCAACCTGCCGGGAGAGGGTGGAGAGGAAATCCGGAGATGCTCTGACCAACCGAGCCCCTCAGGGTCCGGCGTTCGTGTTTTGTTTCTGTTTTAAGCTCCCCAGGTCACTCTTTGTGCAGTCAGATTTGAGAATTACTGTTTTAGAGCCTGACAGTATAGTATTAAAACGTGGCTAAAAGGATGTTTTTCTTAGCAACAACTGATGTGCTTACCTCCTTTACAACCCGACAGACATTTACAACGCTCTCCACGCTCCAGGGCCACCCACAGGCAGAGAAGTGACCAAGGCCAACGTGCCTTCCTCTCCCTGGACATAAGCCTCTAGCTGCGGGGGGTCTGGGTCTCTGGTCCACTCGGGACTGGGACTCGGAGGAAGCGGGGGCGGGGGTTCTTTAATAGAAATTGTTCTCGCTTTTAAGTTAGTTTGCCATACGGAGGGCTATAAAAATGTAATTCAGGGAGGAGAGGGTGGTTGGAAGGCTCCTGGCCGGGCATCAGGACACCTGTGTAAGCCACCAGGTGGTCACATGACCTCAGCCAGGTCACTGAGGTGGGCGGGGGCGGTGGTCCCCCCTGTGGCCATGTCGGTGTCCACAGGGTGTCGTGGCCCCGCGAACCTGCGCTCTCAGTCCCGGCCCGGCCCGATCCCGGTGCCCTCCCGGGGGTCCGGCAGAGGGCAGTGACCGGCGATCTGTGCGTCCGGGGGCCCCGGAGAAACCGGTAGGTCCGACTGCCAACCCACGTGGCCTGGGGGCGCCGGGAGACTGGCGAGCTGTCATCCGTGGAGGGAGGGGCTTGGAAACGGCAGGTCGGGGGAAGGGGTCCTGCCGTCCGCGCTGCCTTTTGCGGTCGGAGGACAGGTTCTCCCGGGGGTCCTTTAGCGGTTGGTCCCCAGCTGGGGGATACAAAAGCGAGGCCTGGAGCCCCCCTTGGCGGGGAGGGCGAAGTCCTGGAGCGGGCAGTGGCCGGGAAGGACCCGCCCCCCAGTGCACGCTCGCCGCCCGCGGAGTTCTCTCCAGGACCCGCAGAGGTGACTGGGCTGAGCGGGGCAGCCCCTGATCGTGCCTTGGGCCTTGGGACTTGCCCACCGGGGTGCTCGGGCTCAGGCTGTTGGGCCGCCCCTCGTCCTGGGTGAGCCCCCTCTCTGGGCTCGGGCTCGCGAGGGCCGGGCGCGCAGCCTTTGTCAGGGAGGGGCGTGGCCAGCTCTCAGCCCCGAGTCAGCATCCTGCGGAAGCGCCCCCGCTCAGCCTCACCTGGCCCTGTCTGCGCCTCTCTCCCCGAGGCCACTCCCCAAAGGGTCAAGGCTGGATGGAACTCGCTCTAAGCAGGAAGAGGGAGCCAGCTGGGAGGGGCTTTGGCCAGGCCCTCTCCCCTTCAGGGCGGGCGCCTGAGGGAGGGAGGTGCCTGCTGGCCTGGCGCCTGTCACAGCTGAGCACCTTTAGGCAAAGTAGCCCGGCGGCCCCGAGAAGCTGCTTGAGGGGGGCCCCCGGGAGCCCCTGGGACTGGTTCCCAGAGCCCGCTCTTGCTCAGCGCTTCAGGCTCAGCCTCGCAGGAGCCTCACTGTCCAGCTTAGGGATCCAGAGGTGGGCGGGGTGGGCTTTGCTCCCTGCCTAGTGTCCAGGGTAAGTGTCTGGAGAGCTGTTTGCTGCATCAGGGCTTCTGGCTGGGTCCCCAGATTGGCCGTGGAGATGCTGAGATGTTGCATGGTCTCAGGTGGCAGGGGAGCTGTGGTGAAGGGGCGTCCACCAGCCCTGGCCAGCGGACTCTACCCCCACTCCATGTGGGCACTACTCAGCCAGGCTTGACTCAGATACCTTGAAGCCACAAGGTGTCAGTGGGTAGTGGCCCCAGGGGCCATTGGGTAAGCTGCTGTAGACCTTGCGTGGGTCTGTGAGCCGGAGATGCAAGGCCAAAGGGCAGGAACATGTGGCAGACCAAGGAGTTCCACTTGGGAGAGACTTCCAGCAGCAGCAGAGAGCGAATGAATGGTCTGTTCTTGCGAGTCCAGGGCCCAGGAGGAGCCAGGTAGCCTGGAGGAACGCCCCGCCCTAGCCCCGTAGACAGCTCTTGGGCCCATTTTCACAGGTGGGTCACTTCAGGCCAGAGCTCACTGACTTCAGAAAGTCAGAAACAGGTTTTCTCAGGCCGGTTCCCTCTGGGCCTGGCTCGGGGGGAGCAGACTCTCAGTGTTTTACAGGACAGAGACCAGGGGGGGGGGGCCTGTAAGTGCAGCTGCACGTGGTCTGAATGCTAAGTAAGAACAGTCCTCATGTGCGAATGGCAGCAGCTGAGTGCTGTACCGTGCCTACTCCGCACCGGGGTAACCAGGTTACATGGATGATCTCATTTAATTCTCCACACCCCGATGAGTCTGTGTTACCACTGTCCCCATTTTATAGATGAGGAAACTGAGACTGATAAAAGCAAACCAGGTCAACCCAGGTCCCTCTCCAGCGACGTTCCTGACACTCGATTCCTAGCGGGGACAAGTCTCCCTGCAGGCAAGGCCCCCAGAGAACATACTGCAAGTGCCTACATATCCAGAAAGAAAACTATTGCTCAACTCCGTTGTTTTAAAAAATATACTTTTATTGATTTCAGAGAGGAAGGGAGAGGGAGAGAGAGAAACATCGATGAAGAGAGAGAATCATTGATTGGCTGCCTTCTGCACACCCCACACTGGGGATGGAGCCCGCAACCCGGGCAGGTGCCTTGACTGGGAATTGAACCGTGACCTCCTGGTTCACAGGTCGATGCTCAACCACTGAGCCACGCCGGCCGGGCTCAACTCCGTTTTGAATGGAGGAATGTTAGGATGTTCAGTGAAAGGTATCAGGACAGAGAATTGTTTCAATGCCCAGCTCTCATGCCTCCTTCCTGCGGTGACATGGGGCCAGGCACTTACTCTCCCAGACGAGTTCCTTCATCTCTAGAGCTGGCCCGGGAGGAGCGCCTGCCTGGAGAGCAGTGATCGGGAATAGCTGACTTAATTCACAGCACCTTAGCACGCTGCCTAGGCATTCAATGAGCTTTACGTGCTGATATCAGTTTGTTAAAAAAGTTACATTTTATATACATTTAAAAAAAGACCAGAAGGAAATACACTAAAGTGTGAACAGTGGGAAATGTGTATGGTGGGAAAATGACATCTTTTCTTTATACTTTTTTGTCCTTTCCAAGTTTTCGACAATGAATAGATACCATGAATTCTTCTTTTTATGATCAGGAAAAGAAAAATGAGAGAGAGAGAGAGTGTGTCACCACAACCTGGGCATGTGCTCTGGCCGGGAATCGAACCTACGACCTTTCAGTGCACAGGACGTTACTCAACCAACTGAGCCACATAGGTCAGGGCAACCAGCTTCATTATCCAGGGGGGACCCTCAGAGTCCATTCCCCAGAGGACTGAGTTAGCGGGTCCTGGGAGGGATGCTCACTCGCTGTTAAGGATGCCGGCGTTCCCTGCCAGCGCCCCCCCTCCCCCCTGATGATGCCTTCCCTTTGCCCCACAGGAGGTCCGAGGGGATGGCTGCGGACATGCAGAGGAAGAGAAGCATCGAGTGCCCCCAGGGCACCTTGGCTCCAGCCGATGGGCAGAGTGTGGAGAGAGCAGAGAGCCCCACCCCGGGGCTGGCCCAGGGAATGGAGCCAGGTACGGGCAGGGTGTGCACAGCTGGCCGCTAGAGCAGCCCAGGTGGGCCCAATACCCTCCCTCTCTCCCTCCCATGCAATCCCGTGTGTACTCAGCTCACTGGGCGTTTGTCAGAGGCAGGGGGTCCTGCAGGGGACCGAGCTCAGTCTGCCCTGGGCTGTCTGCCGCCAGCTGGGCCCTCCTCCCTCCCGTGTCTGCAGTGAACCTGGGGGCTCCGCTCCAGCGAGGAGGTGTGAATGTCGCCTCCTCGTGAGGCAGGCCTGCTCTGTACAGAACACTCGTTATTTTGTAATTTTATTTTTTATGTGTGTATTACCCATCTCCCTCTGAGCTCTGAGCGCAGAGCAGTTGTGTCCTCAATGCCTAGTACAGAGCTGAACTCATAATAGAGACCCAAAATATATCTGTTGAGTTATTCTGTCAAAAAAACCCCCCAGAAATCAGAAGAGGAAGACTGACAAGGCCCCTGGGGGAGTTACAGGCTAGTGGCCCTGTCAGTGGTGTGGCCTCTCCCAGGGGGAGACGCAGTGAGCACAGGAGGCACCCAGGGGCAGGGGGACCGGGCACACAGCAGTGAACAGCCAGCTTCCGGCCCGTGGGGGGACCCCATCACAGTGAGGGAGGGGACAGTAACCGACAAGTGTCACAGGAGACACTCAGGAGGGAGGCACACAGTGCTGGGCTTGGAGGTCGGCTGAGGAGGCAATGAGCATCTTTGCTGAGAGCTGACAGAGCCAGCCATGCGAGGGGCCGGTGCCTTCCGGGCGGAGGGAAGCGCAGGTGCAGAAGCCCTGGGGTAGGTGGCGGTGTTGAGTGTGGCCAAGGAGCAGGTGGACAGAGGCCCGTGTGCCTGGGATGACAAGGCTATCAGATGCGAGTGAGAGAGGCGGGCAGACAGCAGCTGCCCCAGCCATGAGGGCCTGCCCCCCGTGTGATTGGTGGAGGAGCCTGGTGGCCTGTGAGCCGCAGGCGGACAGTGAGTCACAGAGGGAAGAGGGACAGGCAGTCATGCGAGGGCCTCTGGGAGACACCTTGCTGGTGAGGGGCCTGCCGGCGGCTGCTGCTCTAAGCACTGGTGCTCTTGGCTGGCAGGTGCCGGGCAGGAGGGTGCCATGTTCGTCCACGCCCGTTCCTACGAGGACCTGACTGAGCCGGAGAATGGGGCGGCTCCTGGGGAGAACTCCGAGGAGGGTGCCGGGGGCCCACCCCCACTGCCCGCGGACATGCGCCAGATCAGCCAGGACTTCAGTGAGCTGAGCACCCAGCTGACAGGCGTGGCCCGGGACCTGCAGGAGGAGATGCTGCCGGGAAGCTCGGAGGACTGGGCGGAACCCCCGGGGGCCTCCGGGAGGCCGGCCACAGAGCCCCCCAGGGAGGGTGCCGGAGACAGCGAGGAGGAGGAGGCCGCGGAGGCCTGGCGGCTGCACCAGAAGCACGTGTTCGTGCTGAGCGAGGCGGGGAAGCCCGTGTACTCCCGCTACGGGTCCGAGGAAGCCCTGTCCAGCACCATGGGGGTCATGGTGGCCCTCGTGTCCTTCCTGGAGGCCGACAAGAACGCCATTCGCTCCATCCACGCGGGTGAGCCACCTGAGGGGGCTGGGAGGGCTCCCCAGCCATGGGCACTTCCCAGCGGGTCTTGGACTCCCGGGGCCCAGAGGATGGGCTGTGCGCTGTGGCCCAGGGCAGGCCCTCCACTCACTGATCAGCGAACAACCACCCTGACTGCCCCCTAGGGCTGTCGAGGCCAAAGGTGGCTCTGATGTGGGTTTTGCCCTTGGAGAGGGTGGGAAGCCTGGGGAGGTGTCCCAAAAACCCCAGGTCTTGAGACCCCCCTCCCCGATCTTTTGCCATTTAGCTCAGGAAGCGTGTTTTTCTGAAGTGCTCCCTGCTTTCAGCGGGTGCTAGTCTGTGAGGCAAGTTGCAGGGACAGGCCTGGCTCCCTCAGGGAAAGGGGGCCGTGAGCCGCTGTTTCTCTCACCATCCTGAAGCCCCTACTGTGTGCAGAGCTCAGAGGAAGGGTGGAGAGGATGTGGAAAGCGACAAGCTGCCAGGAGGCAGGGCTCTGAAGGAGTTGGGTGAGGCCAGTCCAGGAGGGCTTCCTGGAGGGGGCTGCAGCCGACCTCCCCTCTCCCCTCCCCTCCCCCCCAGATGGCTACAAGGTCGTGTTCGTGCGCCGGAGCCCCCTGGTGCTGGTGGCGGTGGCGCGCACGCGGCAGTCGGCGCAGGAGCTGACGCAGGAGCTGCTCTACATCTACTACCA